GCTATAGCTCTGAACTTCACAGCTATTCTGGTTCTTCAGGAAGTTCAGAGTTAGGGGGTATCTCTCTTACTATGAATTCTGCTGTCTATTCTCTGACTTCCTCTATTTCCACGCTCAGCACCTCCTCAGTCAGGGCTGGGGCTTTTAAGCCTCACAGCAACTGCATATCGTATTTACGCATTTTAGAGGTGCACTTGGCTCAAAATGATGTATTGACTTTCTCCATGTCACCTAGCTAGGAAGCAGCAGCAGCAGCAGACCTGTGCTTCCTGTCTACACTGTGACTCTCAAGCTTGCATTTTTAACCACAAAGCAAATCATTATAGAAGAGGAAATTTACTTTTTTTTTGAGATGGAGTTTTACTCTTGTTGCCCAGGCTGGAGCAATGGCGTGATTTCCGCTCACTGCAAACTCTACCTCCCAGGTTCAGTGATTCTTTTGCCTCAGCCTCCCAAGTGGCTGGGATTGCAGGCATGAACCACCACACATGGCTACTTTTTGTGTTTTTAGTGGAGACAGCATTTCACCATGTTGCCTAGGCTGACTTCAAGTGATCTGCCTGCCTTGGCCTCCCAAAGTGCTGGGATTACAGGCGTGAGCCACCTCACCTGGCCCACATCCGACTACTTTTTGTATATTTAGTAGAGACAGGTTTTGCTATGTTGGCCAAGCTGGTCTCAAACTACTGACCTCAGGTAATACACCTGCCTCCGCCTCGCAAAATGCTGGAATTATAGGCATGAGCCATAGTGCACAGCCAGAAGAGGAAGAATTCTTTGAAATCAGTGCAGAGGGCAAACTAAAAGAAACTGGAATTTAGGAGACTATAAGGAAGAATTTTCTAATCATTCCAGCTGTTCACAATGAAACATTTCATTAGCAGTCTGCAAGCTGAGGCTTATTGCTCGTGGATCAGGAAAATAGTAGAAGGCATTCTCAAAAAAGTGGGAGCTCAGAAGTGGTAAATGAGCTCTGTGGGCCTTTCCAAATCAAATTTGTAAAATGTACTCTCTTCAGGACATTTCTTATTGTCAATTTCTTCTCATGTGACTTTTTTATTTTCAGTGCAATTCATAGAGACCATTCTCTTTCAGTGTAAAAACAGAATGCAACTTATTCATGACTGAAATTGGCATAAGCAGGGTGTCCTCAGCCTGTAAGTGAGCCTGTATAGGAACCTACATCATGTTTCACTGAGAAATAGAGTGGCTTGGATCATGGAAATTCAAAGATGGTTGCAAATAGTATTTTAAGCGCTTGGAAAACTTTATTTCATTTCATTAGATATTAATGATCAGTGGAAGAACACATAGGAGAGGAAGATAAAAACATCATTAGATTCCAAGCCCGGTGCCTTCAATAATTGAGTGTATACTATTACTATTTTAATATGACCCATAATATTGTGATGTTCCCCTTAATTATTTCTGATATGCTTTATATGTGCCTTTATTTTCCAGGTGTTAATTAACTTTTTTCAAAGAAATGTGTTTTCTGCTTTTAGAGAAAATGTGCTGAATATACTAACATTCAAGTTTTGATACTTGTTTGCATTTTTAAATGTGTGTCTTGTTTCTCTAATTAAAATGTAGATAGTATTGTACATATCACTGAGGATGACTTTATGGGAAACTATGGGACTAGAGAGCTTTTCTTCTCTCTTATAAGCCTTCAGGATTTGCTTTGGGAAAAAAGTATATCAATATATACTTTCATTCTGCTCATCCCACTTTCCTCCTCAACTACTCATTATACCACCTCCACCAACCCTCCCACTCTTCCCCTAAATCACATAATTTGTGCCAGTGATTGGAAGACATTTGCATACATAACCCGAGAGGCCCTAATATCTGCAAATGCTTCCATGGAGATAGTTGTAAATTATGATTATGGAGAGAGTTTTCATTCTTGAAATGATTAGCATATGAGATAAGCTTTAGAAAGGAAATGATACGTAAAGAGTAGCACAGATTGGGCTAGAAAGAACTTGAAGGATTGAATGATAGGGACAAGGGTGATCTGTGTTTCAGAAGATGAGGGAGACTAAGGAATTGTAATGTGGATATTTTAGGCTGGGAGTCTAGACAGAAGGTTCCACTTGAAATACAGGTCGTGAAGAAGGCTAGGAGATTTCTAGAGAAGGGAAAGAACACAGCAGAGAAGTGAAGTGAAGGGTATATTGGGGAACACCAAGCAGTTTCGTTTATAGTAGAGTTCAAGAAAAGGAAAAAGTGAAGGAAAGAAAGTTCAGGATGACACTGGGAAGATCCTTAAGTATCAGAATAAACAGTTTGTAATCAGCCTGTGTGGGGAAGGGGTTTGAGGCCCCTTCCTCTCAGGAGTTTGGTATTTTTCATTAACTCTCTCACATGTTTATGTACTGTCTCTTCCCTACAGGTAACATCTTTTGTCATATTTATTTTGATTTATAACATGAATGCTGAAAATTTCAGATTTGTTTAATATAGGGGTTTTTGGCTGTATATAAATCACTATGACTACATAGCTCCCTTTACATTTTAGGTACTGATATTTATTTCTGGTGCTAACGTTATGTAATAAATATGTAAAAAGTTTGCTTCATGCATTATACATATGTCAATGTGTATATGGTTTCTGTAAGTTGAGTTAGTTTAAGAGTACATTTGCTGGCCAGGCACGGTAGCTCATACCTATAATTCCAGCACTTTGGGAAGCCGAGGCGAGTGGGTCACCTGAGGTCAGGAGTTCGAGACAAGCCTGACCAACATGGAGAAACCCCATCTCTGCTAAAAACACAAAATTAGCCTGGCGTGGTGGCACATGCTTGGAATACCAGCTACTGGGGAAGCTGAGGCAGGAGAATTGCTTGAACCTGGGAGGCAGAGGTTGTGGTGAGCTGAGATCATGCCATCACACTCCAGCCTGGGCAACAACAGCGAGACTCCATCTCAAAAAAAAAAAAAAAAAAAANAAAAAAAAAAAAAAAAAAAAAAAAAAAAAAAAAAAAAAAAAAAAAAAAAAAAAAAAAAAAAAAAAAAAAAAAAAAAAAAAAAAAAAAAGAAAGAATACCTTTGCTTAAAGCAGGTAGAAAGAAGTCTTCTTTCTACATATTTCAAATTGAATAAATGATTAACATGTTGCCAAATCAGGTCTCACTTTTTCAAATCTGAATTTAGCCGTGAATTCGTTTCTTGGAACTGAAATACCCTCAGCAGTCCATCTGTCCCTGTTTCCTTCTCCTTTATCTTACAGATGAGGAAACCAGGGTCATCCAAAGTCACACAACCAGTTAACTGGCAATGTCAGGGCTAAAGCTGAGTTATCTGGTATCTTTCTACCATACACCTCTTCGTATCTGAAAGTGACTAACAAAAAGCAAAGCAAATGGTCAACACACGTTTACTATTTAAAAAGTTAATTTCATGGACCACATCAAAATGAACCAGTGAATTCTATAATTTAGATGCAGTGATTATACTTTTATTTGTTAACAGCATTACATTAATAGGCATGCAATATTTCTAGCAAATCAGTTATTGTTATTACAAGTGGTACCACCAAGTTCCCCTAACAAAAATCTGTGGCAGTATTGGGAACAAACAAGGACGCTTCACAATGGGAACATTTTTTATCCTCCATATGGGTACATTATTTTCATTTACAATTGCCTGTAACCGCCCCCCCCAAATTTCTAAGCTCCCCCCAACTGACTGAGTGAACTCCTCCACCAAGGGGATTCCAAAGAAACCTGAAAAACTAATTTAGACCATGATGGGAAGGGGAAGGTCAGACATGCCTCATTATACTTTCCTCTCTTGGGAGTTCAGGCACAATCAACCAGTATTAATATTAAAACAACAGATCTTAAGACTGACAAAACAGACTCTTCTTAATAAGATACCGAAATTCCAAACTGCCTCTAGTATGGCATCACAAGAAAGACAGGAGACCCTAAAAGAAATCAAAGCATTTTACCCTAAAATATATTTCTTTCACGTATTTTGAAATGGCCCTGCACAGCCATCTCTTGTGCGGAAAATATACATTCTATAGAGACTCCCCTTCCCTTTCCAGGTCTTTTCCTGATCCAAGAGAGATTTAACTAAGAGTCTGGCTCTTTTTACATGTGATAAGAGATACTGGCCCTCTATTCTCTCTGAAGCCTGTTACCTATGAGACTTCATCTACATAATAAGAACCTTGGTCTCCACCTTCTTTTAACCCGGACATAGTCCTTTCCGTTGATTCTAGGTCTTTAGATAACAACTTAACTCTTTCAACCAATTGCCAATCAGAGAAATCTTTGAATCCACCTGTGACCTGGAAGCCTTCCCCGTTTTGAGTTGTCCCATCTTCACCGACTAAGTGAAGTATACCTTGCATATACTGATTAACGTCCTTATGTCTCCCTAAAACCATTTAAACCCAAGCCGTAACCCAATCATCTTGGGCACAGGTTCTCAGGATCCCCTGGGGTTGTGTCATGGGTCATGGTCCTCACCTTGGGCTCAGACTAAACCTCTTCAAACATTTTACGGAGTTTGGCTTTGTTCGTCAACATGGGCCTCTAACAGTTGGTTACTGGACCATCCTAAGGAATCAAGGCCCTAGCACTCAAAGCCCCAAAAATAATCCTACATGATATTCACTGTGTATTCAATGTGGGTATAATTTCCAAGCTAACGCATAATTAACCCCACTAATTGTCACAACACACATCCTCTGTATTACTAGCACGCACACAGGGCTCTGCTGCTGGTGGCCTTGTGTCCTTACTTGTAATTCTGGAACCTTCTCTAGGATGGAGGCTGGTCTGATTTATCTCCATTACCCCAGGGCAGGCACGACACAAGGCCCACTGTAGAAAGAATGTCTGAATGTTCAGGCTTCTAAGTAACAGAAAAGCAGTTTGCCTGAAAAATGATTTTTTTTCTGGCTTCTCACCAATGTCAATTCACTTGGAAACCAAGGCAGTTTTCTCCCCTTAACTGAACTCTGGATTTCTTTTCCACTCAAGGGCCCTGACACCAAAGAAAGAAATGGAGCGTAAATCAGGCTACAGAGCGGCTGCTATTCACTCGGGAAGCCTTATTGTTTTCCGTCCTTTGTTCTCCTCTCGACTCATGGCAACCCCCAGGCCTCGCGACCCTCTGAAGCCCTGAGCCTGGAACGGTAGGAGAGGGGGGAACTGAAACGCCGCGGAACCAGAGGCGGAGGGAGCGGCGCGACGGAGGGAGGAGGAGCGACGGACCGGCAGGCCTAGCTCTGGGGCTGCGGCGGCTGAGGCGCGGGGATGGAGCCCCTGCGGGTGCTGGAGCTGTACAGCGGCGTGGGCGGCATGCACCACGCGTTGAGAGGTGAGAGCCCATCGAGCACCCCTCTTTCTATTGGCTCACGGGGGCTGGTGGGAGCACCGGCGCCGGGAAGGGGCGGAGCGGCGGGAAGCTGGGGGCGGACACTGTGGGGCGGCCTTCTGTTGTCCTGGAAACCGCTCCTGCGCGCCGCCACGTCCACCCCTCCGGGTGCTCACTCCCTTTTCCCGGCGCCGAGTCTGGCGGGAGTGGGGGGATGCGGCGCCTCCACAAGCCCAGTTGGGAGTCGGGATTTTCTAGGCAGTAAATCAAACTCAAAGGGTATCGGCAAAGTTAGGGGGAGGGGCGAGCCCCCCGCCTGGTGCCAACCCCGATTCTAAGTGTGCAGTCACCCGGCAGCCTGGAGGCTTGGTCCTTCTTCCTGGGGGACGTCCCAGCGGGGGAGGGAGCGAGCTGAGCAGGGCTCCCCTGGTGAGAGATAGATCTTGGAAGGGGTAATAGCAGCAATTCTAGGTAGAAGTTTGCGAATGCTAAGTAGGATGGTAGGGGAAGCTTGAAAAACTTGGACGTCTGATCCTTGGGAAGAAACGTGTCTTCTGTAGTTCTGCGTTTAGATGCCAGAGAACTGAGTTCCAGCTTGGTGGCAGTGTGACGTTGGACTCGTTTATGAACAGTGGTGAACCTGTTTCTTGGTTTTAAAAGAGAATGATTATTATAAGGATTAAAGATAAAAGCCTGCCAAGTGCTTGTTACTTGTATTGTGCCTGATACATGGTAGCCACTCCTACACAGTGTTATCACTATTACTTTAAAACGATATCACAAGATATTTTCAAAGCAAACTATTACTTTTTATGTACTTCTTTCATTTTGAGGTTTTTTATTTCTTTCGTGCTGAGTTGGAACTGAAAGGTTTACTTTCGGCGGTATTCACTCAAAATTATTTATTGAACTGCTGTGCCAGATTTGTGCCATGGGCTGGCACAAACAGTCTTAGAAGATGCATGTTTATTCTTAAATTACTAAGACAACCACAAAACTGAAACTTCCCTGCTTCCTTATTTAGGACCAAGGGTAACAAGAGACTAACTATAACATACAAACAATATTTCACGGGTTGAGGTTTTTTGACCAGGTTTATTGAGTTTCAGTTCTAGACTAGGTTAATGATCATTAAGTTTTTCATACTTATTTGCTGGCCTTCTGTCTTTATTTCTCATATTAAAACTTAACAGCTTCCAAACAAAACTCTAGTACTATTTACTCTCTGTTAATTCTCTAAAGTTGTGTAATGTCTGCGTTTTCCTATATCTTGAAACTCCTTAATGAATTGCTTGGTACTTTACCATAAGTTGTAATTCGGCCACTCCTTAAATGTCGAATATTTAGACACTTCTTCAGTTTTTTTCAAGTACAATGTGCTACAGTTACATACTTGAGCAAAATGGCGATTTTCTCTTTAAGCATGCTTCCTAACTGTTGGAATTAATTCATTCAACAGTAAAACTTAACTGTGTGCTAGTTACTAAGTGAAAAACTATGAAATTTTTTTTTTTTTTGAGACTGAGTTTCGCTCTTGTTGCCCAGGCTGGGGTGGAATGGTGGAATCTTGGCTCACCGTGATCTCTGCCTCTCGGGTTCAAGCGATTTTCCTGCCTCAGCCTCACAAGTAGCTGGATTACAGACGTCTGCCACCACTCCCGGCTAAATTTTTTGTATTTTTCCTAGAGATGGGGTTTCACCGTGTTGATCGGGCTGGTCCCCTGACCTCAGGTGATCCTACCTCCTTGGCCTCCCAAAGTGCTGGGATTACAGGCGTGAGCCACCACGCTCATCAAAACTGAGGATTTTTAAGACTTTTGAGAGATAGGATAGCAAATCGCTTTTCAGAGATTTTCGAGTGCCTTAACTACATATTCATCAGGATTATATATTACCAATGTTTAATCCTTGCTAATTTGCTAGGGGAAAATTGAGTAATTTTAGTGACTGTTTGGGATTAACAGATGAAAGAGTAAAGTATTTTCTCTCCTGTTAGCCAATGCAATGTGAATTTGTATACATTTTTTTACTGTCAGTGCTACTGTTGTGAATCTAAGCTACTATGATCTCTAATTTAAATTATGAACATAGCTTCCCAGCTCGTCTCCTTACTTCCATTCTGCCCACCTACTCCATCTGTTTTCCTTCTAGCAGGCAGAATGATCATTTGCACAGTAAACCAGATCATGTCACTTGGTTGCTTAAATGGTTTCCTTTGAGGTTGGAATCACGGTCCCATCTTCTTAACAGGCTTGAGTTCTGGCTTCTGTCTCCTTTTCAGTTGTATCTGCCACTCTTCCTTCACATCCCACTTCACATGAACGTCAACACCCAGTGCTGAAATTCTACTTAAACTAGTCCCTGAATTATTTCCTCAGCCTCTCTTGTCGAGGCTCACTGGTTTTATTTCTCTCTGCTCCTCAAACCCTCGAAGTTCTTCTACATTCTGGTCTTTGCTTTTGCTGTTGCCTCATCCAGAGTGCTCCTAACCGTGGACTTTTCACTCCAGCTTTGTTTCACATTTCATGTTTTAGTTCATACATTGGCTTTCCCTGGCTGACCCTGTGATCCAAAGAAACTTCCCTGCCTCCCTGTATCTCTCTGCTCTCTCATCTTCTGGGTTGAAGTCTGCATATGAGGAATATAGACTCTTAATCTTTTTGATGCAGGTATTTTCCCACACTTGTTTGTCTTCCAATTTGTTCACTTATTTGATGTACTAAAGTTTAAAATTTACCTGTAATAAAATGCATTTCTCCTTTCCAGATGGTTTTTAATTTAGTCATAAAAAACTAATAATGGCAGTTAACTTCAGTGTTTATTAGGGATCTTTTAAATTCAGGTCCTTTTTTTGTTTGTTTTGTTTTGTTTTGTTTTTTTAAAATGTAATCTTGCTGTCGCCCAGGTTGGAGTGCAGTGGCACGATCTCAGCTCACTGCAATCTCTGCCTCCTGGGTTCAAGCGACTCTCTGGCCTCAGCCTTCCGAGTAGTTGGGATTACAGGTGTGTGCCACCCAGCCTGGCTAACTTTTTTGTATTTTTAGTGGAGACGGAGTTTTACCGTGTTAACCAGGATGGTCTCATCTCCTGACCTCGTGATCCGCCTGTCTCGGCCTCCCAAAGTGTTGGGATTACAGGTGTGAGCCGCTGCGCCCAGCCTAAATTCAGGTCTTTTTTAAAGTATGTAATAAACTACTTAATGGTAGAATCAGTATTCTAACCTAGGTCTACCTATGTGACCTTTTAACCATGCTATGTTGCTGTTGTTCTGGTTAGATCTGCTAACTTCCTTGGATCTATACATTAAATAATATAACAAGCAGCACAAAAGGAATAATATTGAACTTGAGTTTTGACCGATTCCTAGATAAGGTTTATAATCAAATTTGTTTATTGTGTTAAAACATACACAACATAAAATGTATTGTTTTAACTATTTTTAAGTGTATAGTTCAGTGGCATTAAGTACATTCACGGTGCTGTGCAACCATCACCCTTGTTTGTTTCTAAAACTTTTTAATCATCTCAAACAGAGCTCTATGCCTCTTAAACAATAACTCCCTATTTCTTTCCCCCCAGTCTCTGGTAACCTTGATTCTACTTTGTTTTTATGAACTTGTCTACTTTGCATACCACCTATGAGTAGAATAATACAATATTTGTTCTTTTGTGTCTGGCTTATTTCACTTATTATAATTTTTTCAAAGTTCATTTATTTTGTAGCCTATATCAATATCACATTTCTTTTTTTGGTTGAGTAGTGTTCCATTGTATATCTATGCAATTTTGTGTATCTATTCATCTGTTGATAGACACTTGGTTTGTACCCTGTTGACCATTGTGAATAGTGCTACTTTAGGTATTGGTATATAATACAAGTATTGTTTGAGTCCTTACTTTTAAGTTTTGGGGTATAGATCTAGCAGTGGAATTGCTTGATCATATGATAATTCTGTTTAACTCTTGAGGAATCACCATACTGTTTTCCACAGCAGCGGCACAATTTTACATTGCATGAGCACTCCGTCTTCTCTGTCTCTATATTCTCCACCTGTTACTCCATTTTAACAAACAGTAGGCATTCCGATGCGTATATTATATCCCATTGTGGTTTTGATTTGCATTTTTTAAAATAACTAAAGATGTTAAACATCTTTTCTTTTTTGTTTCCTTTTGAGATGGAGTTTTGCTCTTGTTGCCCAGGCTGGAGTACAATGGCAAGATCTCAGCCCACTGCAACCTCCACCTCCTAGGTTCGAGCGATTCTCCTGCCTCAGCTTCCTGAGTAGCAGGGATTACAGATGCCCACCACCATGCTCAGCTAATTTTTTGTATTTTTAGTAGAGAAGGGGTTTCACCATGTTGGTCAGGCTGATCTTGAACCCCTGACCTCAGGTGATCCATCTGCCTTGGCCTTTCAAAGTGCTGGGACTACAGGCGTGCGCCACCGCAGTGGGCCATTGAGCATCTTTTCATGTGCCTGTTAGTTATTTGTATTTTCAGTACAGAGAAATACCTTTTCAAGTCCTTTGCCCATTTTGGAATTTTCTTTTTGTTGTTGTTGAGTTATAGGCTTTATATATTGTGGATCTTAATGTCTTATAGATATATGATTTGCAAATATTTTTTTCCCCACCTTACTGAATTTTAAGTTATAAAAAGTATATTTAATTTCTTTGGCAACATGATAGATTTGCCTCAAACCCAGTGAACATCTAAAAAATGTGTCAATAAAAGTTTTCATCCTTATCAGCATATTCAATATGCTGTTGCATTTTTATAGTTACTCCATAAATGCTTCTATGTTTTCTAAATTTCATTTAACTTTATTTTATATCTGTATGCCCATGGCATAACTGTAATGTCCTTTGTTGTTTCTCTCTGTCCTGTTCAGCCTCTAGCACAGTACCACACTCTCTGTAGATTACTTTTGAGGTTACTATTGAATTGAGAACAGTTCTGCTATCATTTTATCAAATGATGAAGGTTTATTTAGCCCAGAT